CTTTTATTGATACAGGTGACTCATTTTTAACTATTTTTAAACATATGAAATTGGAAATTATTTTAATGATTTTTTCATGAATAAAGTTGATAAATTAAGAGAAGAAATGTTGTTTGGCACAGCCAGTTTGCCACATCTTTAATATCAGTATTGAAAAAGGAATTTTTCCTTTAGCTTGGAAATATGTAAAGGTTAATCATCAACAGTCGACCAATAAGTTTGCTACCAGTTCTTAGCAAAGTATTGAAAATGATAGTTTGTGAGCAAATTCAATTATTCTTTAAGGAGAATAATTTTCTCTCTAATTTTCAGCATTTATATTGAGAGAGCACAGATTGATGATAATAACTTAGTAGGAGCAGTATTGTTAGATTTTAGCTCAGCTTTTCATGTACTGGATCATAAATTATTGCTGGATAAACTGAAATGTTACAAATTTACTTATCATACTGTACATTGGTTTAAAAGTTAACTGTCTAATGGGACAATGTGTATTTTATAATGGAAGTTATTCAGATGTGAAAGAGTTGCAATGTGGTGTGCCTCAATGAAGTTGTTTAAGACCAATGACCTTCCTCTTGTTTTAAACTGTGCATGGATGGACATGCATGTATGCAGATGATAAAACATTATATGTACCTGCAACATCAATTAAGCAGTTGTCTACTGCTTTGGATGAGGAAATACAATTGGTCATAAAGTAGGTACGGAATAATAAGTTGGTTCTAAACTTGATAAAACCCAAAAACATTGTGTTTGCATCAAATTGCATCAAAAGTTGATTGCATCAAAAGTTAAATTTGTCTGTAAAGAGTGTGCCTATTGACCAGGTAGAGGAAATAAGACTTCTTGGAGTTATATTAGACAGTAGGCTGAAGTGGTCAAAACAGATAGAAAATATGGTAACAGGTATGGGAAGAGGTTTGTCAGTTATTAAGAGATGTGTAAACTTTTTACCACAACACAACAATGGTTCTTGCTTAGATTATTGCCCAGTGGTGTGGTCTAGTGCTTCAAGTAAAGACAAAAAACTCAACTAATTGAAAAATTACAATTAGTCCAGAACAGAGACAACTCACTTTAAACTGTAATAGAAGGGCTAATATAATAAGAATGCACTGGTGAAGGATTGTCTCTCTGCTTTGTTTAATAAGAAATATTTCTGTGTCTAGAGTTCCTAATGTCCTGTACTCTTAACTTTTGTATAGTAGTACTAGTCATCATTTTAACAACAGGCATGCGTAAAAGGGATGTTTTTTATTTCCCGTTTCGAAAATCACTGCAAAACAACGGACTGTAATGTATAGAGGAATGAAAATATGGAATGATTCACCATTGATATTACATATTTCATAAGAAAAATGAGTTTTAAAAAAATATTTAAAGGAACATTTAATGGCACAATATATAGTAAATTGTTGATTTTGATATTTGGAATGAATATTGGGTTAGTATGTTTCATTGACTTGACTTTTTATTGTTGTTGATTACAATATGTAGTTTTGTATTTTTTACTTGTTGGGACCCCAGTAAGAGTAGCCACTGCCTAGGTAGTGGTTAATGGGGCTCCAAATAAACAAATACACTTAGATTATAGATGGAACATACCATTTACAGCCAATACAGGCAATTTACTAAGGAAAAATATGTTTTGACAGTTATAGCACCATGTCTTGCCTGATCTCCACCATTTTTATTAGGTGTCCTCAAAGTGTGCCCATTCATATGTGTGTCAAATTTGTTGTAAATATCTCATTTCGTTTTGAAGTTTAGACACTTATATTTATGAGAGCATAAAAATGATCCATAGGCGACATTGATTGGATTTTTTTGTCAGTTCCTATCATAATTTAGAAATTTTTGGGCGTTATTGTTTAGCTATTGACCTATGTTTTCAAATTTCCTGTGGTGGTTTTACTTTTGTCTCGATCGGACTAACGGTTTCGAAGATAATCGCAAGTTTTTTAAGCTCTAAATTACACCGTTACACAAACCATAAGGCGAAACCTGGCATGTTTGTTATCGTTGGACTCGGCAAGGATTCAGGAGTCTAAGGAGGTCACTTCTGTGAAAAACGCTGGCTTGAGCACCTTCAGGGCATTGTGCCGATGACGCATATAGAGTTTTTTGAGGTACGCCAATGTTCTCATAGACTATCATGGCACCCGGGACAAAGACACTGCATGCCAATTTTCATCGGACTAACGGTTGGGTGTAGCCACATAAATGTGCCATTTTCATGATTTATTTTCCCTATTATAGCGCCACCAAGTGGCCAATCGTCGCGATGTTTTTCATGTGACCTCAAATTGAGCTCATAAACATGTGTCCCGAGTTTAGCGAAAATATCTCTTTCCGTTCACAAGTTATAGCCATTTTAGTAAAAGTGGCCCTAGTCACATCGAACATTTTGGTTTCCCTTAGCAACCGTGTATTAAAATTTCGATTTTTCTTTTTTTTATGATTATTGATAGTAACTCTCCAGAGAATATTTCTGCAGTGGTTTGGTTACGATCAGGCCAAAAACCTAGGACTAGTTTGCAAAAGTAGGTTTTGGGAAAAACCCCAAATACCGGAAAATTTTCCCAGGGTGACGAGAAAATCCGAGGCATGCATTTTGTCCGCCTTGGGCCAAAGACGGCCTATGAGCCTATGCCTTACGGTTTAGGAGTTATGAGCCATTTCGTACTTTTGAACGCTGTAGTGCCCCCGTCAGGCCGTTCGGGGCGCGCCTTTGGTGACGTTGTAGGCTTTGTGAACTGAACTTTGAACTAGTTCATGTAGAAAGTGAACTTTCCCAACACTGACTACCAGCCCTCAAAGTTTTAAGTCTCTACGACTTACGGTTCGGTCTGCCTGATCAGTTTTAGATGGAGAATGCTGCATCATGGGAAAATTAACAATAACAATAGCGTTTCAGCGCTACGCGCTTGAATCCCTAGTTACATAAAAAAAATTTGTTAAAAAATACAAACATTTAAATGATACTATAATAACACTGCACAAAACCTGTCAAGAACATGTCCAGGCATATTTCATCCCAAAATCAAAGGAAAGAATAAAGAAATGCTGTTTTAAAGTAAAATGGCCAGATGCATTTCAGGAATGAGACATTTGGGAGATGTCACAATGCAAACAATCCTTATGATTTCAAATATTCTTCATTATCTCTGTGCAAATGTGACCTATGTTTTGGTATATTCTGGGCCTCTATAATAATGTTGTGTCGAGGGTCTGCTTCACATTCCTGACACTCATGTTTTTGTTCCCTCTTCCCCCCCCCCCCCCCCCCCCCCCCCAAAAAAAAACTCCATCAATATTCATGACCCAGCTACCATAATGCATTGCAGCACCCTCTCAAGAACGTGATAAGTCTCATCACTAAAACCCAAGACTGTCTGTTGTTCTCCCTCGTCTAAATTGGGCCTGAATTCAATTGCCTGACCATCACTTTCATAAAAGAGTTTTTCTTTCTTTCTTTCTCTTTCTTTCTTTCTTTCTTTCTTTCTTTCTTTCTTTCTTTCTTTCTTTCTTTCTTTAAGCCTTTCTTTCTTTCATTCTTGCTTTCAGAGTGGACTGATGTACTATATATGCTTGACAGTGAGGTTAACATAATGCCGTTGGCTCACATAACCATTTACAATAAATGCAAATGAAAATGCTGCCATTTATTTATTCATTAAGAAGGTGCTTTTATCCAGAGTGATTCACTCAGGCCAGTACTCTCTCTCACATACACAGTTGTGCGAAACATTAGATATGTGGCATACTGATATCGAATAAACTGTTCTATGTACTAACCTCTTTTAAACAGTAAACAGACTAGGCTTGTGCCCTAATTGTGATCTTTCATTAATTTCACTGTCCTGTGATATTTTTAGTCACAATAATAAAACTGGCAAAGAAAAACAGTGATTAGCTTTTCTTCACAAGTGTGTGTGTGTGTGTGTGTGTGTGTGTGTGTGTGTGTGTGTGTGTGTGTGTGTGTGTGTGTGTGTGTGTGTGTGTGTGTGTGTGTGTGTGTGTGTGTGTGTGTGTGTGTGTGTGTGTGTGTGTGTGTTTAAAAGATTTTGTCTGATTAGACAACTTATCACAAACAGTTTTAGACTATAAAGGAAGTTCTCCACATTTTAGGCCCTTGCATTGCTGTATATTCAGTTTTACATTTCAAAGGTGAAATGTGTAACTTCTGCACCAAATGGTATTGAAATGTTTTTTGGTTTTTTTTGTGGTTGTTTTTCTTTTTAAGCAATCCAACATGCGTTTGTGTCATACAAACAATGTACGATCAATGGTGTTTGGGAAAATTGTTTTAAAATAATTATTATCTGTAGTTCCATTTGGATCCACAAGTGGTGCAAAAGTAACACTGCACATTTAAATGCATTCTCTGTGCTGAATCGATTGCATAAAGTGATATGCATATATTTAATGCTCTTCAACCCAAGACTGTTTGTCCTCAGTGAAGACGTTTGACAAAATCCATCCCTGCACTTTGCAGCAGATTGAATCAACATGGCCACTTTATTGTCGAGTTTTAATCCCTCCCCATCTCGAGGGTACTACCGGACTGTAATCACTGCCGACTCACGGTCTTTTAAATATTATTGAACAGCACAAAAGCAATTCAGAGATTTCTCTGGAATGTATGAAAGCACTTCTTTGGTTTATTTTCAGGGTTTGTGCCCGTATATGTGTGTTAAACGTCAGTCTGCTATGTCATCCACACCCAGCCTTACATGGAAATGCCAAGTGTATAAGGAGGGTAAAAGGAAGATATGAGAGAGAACGGGGAGATGGAACAGGGAGATACTAAAGATAAACACAAGAGGAGAGTATATTTATAAAATATACAGTACCTAGGGACGTTGGCTCAACCAGTGGCATACGTTTTGAGGTAATGGCAGAAGGGGGAAGTGTTTGAAACTGACTTATCATTATTTAGACTGTGCTGCAGAAATGACAGTAATCCTGTCTGTGTCTGTAGCCTGTGATCTTACCGATCTGCGTCTGCGTCTGTGTCTGCGTCTGCGTCTGTGCTTGCTGCTCCTGCAGACTCTGGCTGTCCACTGAGATGCCACTGTCACTGTGCAGCTTCTCTCCCTCTGGAGACGGTGTCTGATTGGCTGTGGCTGCACGATTATTAGCTGCCTGTTTATTCTGCTTGCAGCTGTTCCACCTGGAAGAAACAGATGCACATGTAGAGTACAAATGAATGTGAGGAGTGAGAGGAAAGCACTGGCAGCGTTCAATTTCAACAATAAACTGTTGTGTTTGCATAGTAGTGGATTTTTTTCTTCTTCTAAATATGCCTAAATATGTTTGAGCACCTTTATTCTTCTTCATTACTATTTTCTAATTTTTGTAGAACTTTATATTTATTTATTTATAATTTTAGAACGCTATTACAAAAAAGAAAAACAAAACAAAGCAGAACAAGAGACAAAATCAACCTAATAATATTAATAATAATTTAAAAAAAAATCCATTTCTTTTTGTTAATATGAATAATTACATAAAACATATTATAATTACATATCATATACAGAATTATTTTTGTAATAGTTAGGTTAGTGGGTAATCATAATAACAATTGTTGAAATGTTTGGGGTCAGTAATATTTTACTGTTTTCAAAATTGATAATAATAATACGGAACTTATCGTGAAATCATCATTTTAGAATGATTTCTGAATGATCATGTGACACTGAAGACTGGAGTAATGATGCTAAAAAAATCAGTTTTGACATCACATGAACAAATTACATTTTAAAAAATATTCAAATATTGTAATTATATTTTACAATATTACTGTATTTTTGACCAAATAAATGCAGCCTTTGTGAGCATAAGAGACTTTTAAAAAATCTTACCGACTCCAAACTTTTAAACGATAGCTTCATCCAAAGCAATAAAAATCTATGATATGTCCCAATTGAAACAAGGCCTGAAAGTTTCACCACCTGACTATCATCAATCATTTTCCATCTGTTCTTATGTCTTTCTATGTTTTAAGGATTTTTCTCTCTTTTGCTCACCTCTTAAAGATGATGTAAGCCAGGAGGCCGACCACGACCGCTGCCAGGATGGAGCAGTAGATGGGAATCAGGTTCTCGTTTAGCCTTTTACTAATAAAGTGAGGAGATCTGGGTTTGGGTGTGGTGTTGTCGTCTCCAGGGCTGGGGCTCCACAAACGGTTCGGATCAGTGACAAATGAACTAGAATCCTCAGTGAAAGCGGGATAGGTAGGACTCAACGGATCTAGGATAGAGAGAAAGACAGTCACACATATACGTTAGCTACAATCTGAGAAGGACTGGGAACCTACATAGATGTAAACTGATGGTGAAAACTACTGGAGTCTGCTGCTGTATCTAAACAGAATTCACACTCTATTATTATATATATATAATTTGGGATAATGCAATGCAAAAATGCAAATGGGATATTGAACTGAACCTGTTGAGATGTTAGTGGAAGCTGTGAAATTGGCCAATGGCTGTCTGGATGGTGTTATATGATATATAGCCTTTTTCACCCACTAAAGGCACTATTTGTCTTTTTATCGGTCTTCCTCTCTTTATTGATTTGATGCATAATTTATCGAAAGGCAACCCCCAATAAATTCTTTCCAGCTCCCAATAGAGCACAACAGTGACTGCCCACATTTTCAGAAGTCTTTGTGCCGGAAGTATTTTTCCCATTCATTTTCTCCATAGTCATTAAAAGAAGAGACATAAACCAAATTAACCAGTTTTGAGTTTAATCACATTACAAACTTTTGGTTTAAATCTAAGTATTTAATAATTATAAATAATAAATTACTCATTGAATGAGGCTTTGCAAATAATGTTGCAATATGAAGCTATTGACTTTAAGTCATACATTTGGCGTGTGAAGATCAATTTCTGTGTGGAGAAAAGGAAATGAATAGCATTATGGAACCCAACAGATGCACTTCATTGACACACACGCACACACACACACACACAATTTTCACTTGTTTTGCTGTCGAACTCTTCACTCTTTCTCAAGAAAAGATTCTGGAATCGAGTAGAGATTGTTATGGTTCATATCTTTCACGGCTGTAAAATTGGTGGTGACAGAGTTCGATCTGGCTCAACAGGAGGTCTTAACGTTGCCATGACTCTCTAGAATATTTTCATTCTCAACTGAACTATTCCAGAGTGGCCATATGCGTGACTGATTGAGCAATGCTGAAACTGAGAACCTTCTATGCAAAAACTTTGGTTTGATTTATAAGAAGCCATAGCTAATGAAGGATCTACGGTCAAAGGTCTCTATTATTAAAAACAAGAACTCAAGATTTACATGGGTGACATTTTTAGGCTTTGAAAAGTGCTGTAGATCTCACCTAAAAGCCAGCTTGAACTGGTATGACTAGTTGGTTTGTTGAAACTCCCAGAAGGTCTACGAACTTGAACGTGGTAGAATGACCATCTTAGACCAGATAGAAACCAGCTACTCTGTTCCCAATCACAGCTAATAATAGCTTATTTCTTTTGCTTCTGTTTTTAGTCTATGAAGTGTCTGTAAAATATGAGTTATATTTGAATACTCAAAGCATAATGAAAGTGACTTAGTCATTAGCTGTTCAACAATTAATTAAAGACCATTGTTTTCTAGATTGGTTAGCATAAATACACACACACACACACACACACACAGGCGTCTTATCTTCATCACACCTTTCAAACTTGTGGGCATCTGAAGACTTGTGCAGGCAGCCCCCTTTGTTTTCTTTATCAGTCTCTTTCACTTGCTGTCTCTCCCTCAGTAGCCGTCAGTCTTCTCAAGACCGTCTCCTCCCTCTTTCGCGAAGGAAACATTCATTCGTTTCCGAGTATGCACTAAAAGTTAAATGATTTCTGAGAGATCTCTTTTTCTTTCTGTCTCTCTGATTGAAAAAGGGGTATGTGAATTTGCTATATGTGGATGTGTTTTCAGCCTGACTGAGCTTGAAACTTGAGTGAAAACACGTCGGCGGTAAAACTCAGCCAAGCCAAAGGTTAACAATTTCAAATTCTTCTCTTTTTTTATTTTAATGATTTTCCTTCTTAACGGGGCGTTTTCAGGACGAGGTGCCAAGTGTGAAGTGCTTGTTAACCCTCAGCTGGGCGCCTTCTTTAATGAGGAGTCTTTATTCTCATCCTCTCACAGTGCTGTTTTCTTTTTTGTTTGTTTTTTGGAAGGGATTTTAATGCTTATCTGGCAACCCTTTTCAAGTTTGTTATAATGGTTCTTTTTATCTAACAGAAAACACTCTCGAAAGACTGTCACACACACAGCAACCCTTATTCTCTTCTTGTGTGTGTCTGTGTGTGTGTGTGTGTGTGTGAGAGAGAGTGAGTAAGTGTGTGTGTGTGTGTGTGTGAGAGAGAGAGAGAGAGAGAGTGAGTAAGTGTGTGTGCGTGTAAGAGAAAAGAGAGAGTGTGTGTGAGTGTGTGATAGACAGGAGGGGGAGCGATAAGAGCCTGATGGCTGTGTGTGTGTGTGTGTGTGTGTGTGTGTGTGTGTGTGTGTGTGTGTGTGTGTGTGTGTGTGTGTGTGTGTGTGTGTGTGTGTGTGTGTGTGTGTGTGTGTGTGTGTGTGTGTGTGTGTGTGTGTAGTATGTGTGTGTGAACAAATGGATGGCTAAATGAACAGAAGCTTTGCTGTTAAGTGCTCTTATTAGCTGCAGTAATTACACTAGCAAGAGGCATTAACACACACATACACACAGTCAGAGACTTATTAATCTGTCTTAAACAAGGATTTGTTATTTAAAAGGTATATAAAAATAGAGAAGTTTATAAATTTGAGGTTATTTTTTATATTATCAATTTGTCATTTCAGTTTGGTTACATTTTTGTTCCGTTTTCATTATCGTTGTTTGTTCTAGTTTTATATTATACCAAAAAGAACACAAAATATTTAGTCATAAAACCTTATTTTAGTTTAAGTTTTTTCCCCCAGTTATTTTTGTTTTATTTCAGTTCAAACTGTTTTCATTTAGTTTTTGTATTAGTTTTATTTTATGCAGCTAAAAATTAACATTCTGTAAAGAAAAGAGGTGTGTATATATTGCAACAGTGCATAAAATTGTTGTTATTGTTAACTCAAAGTAAAACTATACACATGTTTTCAGAAATTTTAAATAATGCTGAAATAAAATAAAATAGAAATATTAGATGAAAAGCTTATATTGAAATATTGCCTTGTCAAATAAATTAAATAAGTTCAAATTGAAGAGCTACAATTACAAAAACTAAAATAAAAACAAATGGAAATATATACTGTAGAATGTAGCTATATAGAAAACTGGGGGGGGGGGGAACTAAGAAAAATGACAAAACAATTACTAGAAATAAAACTATAAAAATAAAAGATAATTCAACATGAATAAATACTATAATCATATTATATAAATGATACAAAAATAACACTGGTGCGTCATAAAGCATCATAGAAAAGATAAACCAGAATTAAAGCATGTTCTTTGTCACTGCAGCTCTATCTGTGCTAGCGAGTGATGATGTGACAAAACTAGAATGCTTTGAGTGAGAAATGAAACCCAGAGAGGAGTTGAAACAGAGCAGTTACAGAATGCTTTGGAAGGGAGGGGAAACTGCTGTTGCTCCAATCCACTGACATACTCTGACATGTATCTGTGTGTGTGTGTGTGTGTGTGTGTGTGTGTGTGTGTGTGTGTGTGTGTGTGTGTGTGTGTGTGTGTGTGTGTGTGTGTGTGTGTGTGTGTGTGTGTGTGTGTGTGTGTGTGTGTGTGTGTAATGCAGTAGCTGCGATAGAGGTCACAGATTGAAACCCGAGTGTAAGAAAGTCCAACGGCCTTATCGATCCAACAAAGGAAAGAGCTCAGCACATCTCTCTCTCTCTCTCTCTCTGTCACATAAACACACAGACACATGCCACTTAAATCCGTATGAGCTACAGGAAGTGAATCACCATACATACGGACCACCAGCGTCGAGAGAGACTGGTCATTCAGATATGTGTGCCTTTGACTCCGACTGTGGACATTCTCATGAAAGAGCTTGTTTTTAATACGCCACCCTCATCAAAGGGTCCATAAATGACTGACCCACCAGAGAGATAGACATGAAAGGGTCAGAGATACACAGACAGAAAGAAAGATAGATAGAGAGAGGCAGTAAAGGTCACATAAAAGGTCATTTTAAGGAAGATAATGAGGCACTCGCAGAGGGTAGTCATCTCTACAGGCTACACAAGGACCTCTATCACTGAGTGTGTGTGTGTGTGTGTGTGTGTGTGTGTGTGTGTGTGTGTGTGTGTGTGTGTGTGTGTGTGTGTGTGTGTGTGTGTGTGTGTGTGTGTGTGTGTGTGTGTGTGTGTGTGTGTGTGTGTGTGTGTGTGTGTGTGTGCGCGTGTGCGTGTGTGTGTGTGTGTGTGTGTGATATGGTAGAACAAGGCTGCTCTTTGGTGTAACCGTACACACAAAGGATGATCACATTATCGTCGACAGTATTGGGGAGATAGAAAACAAACTAATAATAAAGTAGTTGAATTACAGTCATGTTGTGCTTTTGAAAAAGTAGCTTAAAAGTAGCTTTAGGGTCTGTAATATTTTTTTCGTTTTTGAAAGAAGTCTGAAGTTATGCTCACCAAGGCTGCATTTATTTGATCAAAACTAAAGTGAAATATTATTACAATTTAAAATAACTGGTTTCTATTTTAAAAAGTAATTAATTCATGTGAGTGCAAAGTTCCCCAACACTGCTAACGGAAGTATAAAACAAGCCATCTCATTTGAGCTTTTTTCCAATTTTTTCCTCTATTTGTGTCTCACAGGAAAGGCAAGTGAGAGCAGGAACTGATGCCAGTGAAGCTGAACATTTGTGTGTGTGAGTGTAACAAACAGCACTTGCAGATGTTTTATGATTTACAGGTTCCATCTGCAGAGATATCTTTCATCTCCTTATGCTGCACTACAGCACACACAGTAAGCTTCAAGTCAAGCATCTGAAACACCATTATAGCAAATATTCACCTAGTAAATCAGCTAAAAGTGTGTTATTTTTCGATATTATTTCTCCAATAATAATCACAAACTGGTGAACAAAAGTGAAGACTTTAAACTTTGTGGCTGTTGTTCTTTCCAAAAATGGCTGTTTATTGAGGTTGCTATACTAAAGTGCTCAAAGTTTGAGTTTAGGACGGGACTATCTGTTTGCCTGTGGGGAGAACGTTCAGGAAACCTGTTTGGAAACAGTCACTTTTGTGCAAATTCATTTGCTGCCACTGCTGGTGTAGAACGTTCACACTTCACACTATAGGATGCGTCAGGGCACAATTAGCATTTACACTATAAATTCCATGTGATCACACACATTTTTCAGCTACCTCCAAATGTGGTTTGAGTGATCCAATCACAAAGCAGTTTGGCCCCCCGTTTACACCTGTCTTTAGCATTGTCCATTTGTGATCAGATTACCTGAGACAGATGTTAATGCAGGGTGTAACACACACCAAAGAGCTACGGCTGACACCAAACCCCAAACGGACACATCCTGCCTAATTTTCCTCTGCAGCAGAAGCCATAATGACCCTCACACACATACAGCCCCAGGCTTCAGACATCAGACAGTCCCACCGACCAAGTGCTAGCACACTAATGCAATGACACGCCACATTACATGCCCTCTCCAGCCATGGAAACTGAGCTTTCTCTGTGTGTTTGATTAAAGAGGTAGAAAAAGGGCCAGCACTTCGCTTGTTGGCCACAGCCACAGTGTTTCTTAGGGAACCATTGGTCAGGTTGAACTAAAGGCCCTGATATACTTCAAGCGAAATTGAAGAACAAACTGATGTGACATCATTTCAAACAAAATTAGGCAGAAACGAAGTTCGTTTAGAGTTCGTTTTGGGAGTTCAATACAGCTTGCCAAAGCTAGCTTGGTAAACACCTTTGTTACTACGATTGGTCCGCAGAGATTACGTAATAGGTAGGTGTGCGCGGAGGCTCCGCCTTCTTTCACGTGAAACTCTTTTCTGGTTAATTTGGTTGAGGTAAGACGTCCGTGAGTGAAAACAAGTCGTACTTCTGATGAAACGTGACACTGACACTGTTTTTCATGTTTAATACGGTAAATCTGCTTCATTTTAACTTTACTGGACTTTACTGGAGTGCCATAGAACTTGTGCAAACATAACCACGTTTCTATGATCAGATGCTTTTCTTATGTTTTATTAAAATGCTTGCTGTTTTTTCAATTTTGTTGTGTGTTACTGAGGGGAAAGTGTGCAGCACAGATTTACATATTCATCTAAACGCCGCTCTCAGCAGTGTGGGTGGCGTCAGACGTTCGATAACAGTACATCGCTGCTCACGTTTTACCCATAAACGAAGAATGAAAAAGAACTTCACCATGAGTATATCTGGGCCTTAAGTCCTAACAGAAACAAACATTCACCTGGGTGTTTGTTTAGTTTGTTTGTGGAATATGAAGGACTTTGGGGAGGAAAGGTTGTTTGTTTTATGTTGTAATTGTGTCATTTTTCTATTGTTTATGTCTATGTAGCAAGTCTACACCAAATTTCCTCTCGGGGACATTAAAGTATACTTATATTATATTATATTAAGATTAGTAATATTATTAATCATTTTAAAGGGAAAGTCTGCAATTTCAGCACTACTAGTGGCACCACACAGAATTGCAGTCTGTTTAAACAGTCGTGGACTGTTGTTTTTTTTTTTTTTTTTTAAAGTAATGCGCTTTTTATAAAAGCAAGAAGCCACATGAGGTTAACAGTGATGTTTTCCCCTGTTAAAGAGGTTAAGAACATCTATAACCTGTTGTAAAATCACTGTAATGCACATGTTTGCTTTTTATTCTTCTTGCAAACCACAAACTGTGTATGTGTGTGTGTTTGCATGTCACTGGGTTTGACCTTTTGGACAGTTGTGACCTCTATAACTACAGGGCTTTGCACATAATATCCGCACTTTGACCTTTTCAACTGCAGGGCCACAAGCAGACACACGCGGAAATGACCCAGATTGATCCTTAAACACATGGAGGCAAGCAAACATTATGACTGAGACTGAGAGAATTTGGCTGTTAGAAAGAGTGTGAGAGAGATCAGGCACAATCACATCTTATACAGACAAACAAAACGGTTATGGTGTTCGTGCAGTTGCCCTTAGTGACTGACCACAGGCTGCAAGTACGCATTGGTTTTCTCTTTGTGTGCAACTCAAATATGCAAGAAAAAAAGTAAGTAAATAAACTGAAAAATGAAGCAGAAATAGTTTGACAAACATGGGAACAAAATCTTATGTTTGTAACAAACCATCGTGAACTATATTGCTATTTTGTTTGTTTTGTTGCTTTAGATTGTGTCATTATTTTAATTAATAATTTCATTATTTTATTTAAATTTTGAGTGCATTATTCTCTCACCATGGCACCATGCATCTTCATAGGGTGTGCAATTCCTGATGAGAATCTCTATCCCCTCCTCGCAGATGGTGCAAGGCATGCAGGGGTCCAGCGAGCTCTCCCGATCAGAGTAGGTGTCTCCCAGACACTCCTCACAGGCCGTGTCGTGGGAGTGCTCGCAGCGAAACAGCACTCCCTGACCGTGGGGACACACAGTGCAGGGCTCGCACTGGGCCCTCAGGTCGTTCATGAAGTAGCCGTAGTTGCACACACACACAGCGTCGTTCGAGTCGGTGCAGGGGGTCTGCATACGCATGAGACCTGTGCACTCTCTACACGTCTGACATCTCTCTGTGTGACTGAACGTTTCAGAGAATGTCTCGCCTGGAGAGAGAAAAAGAGAGACATAATCAGAACGACAAGATAATTACACTATAATCTGCCTTTCTGCTGTAAATAATGACCCCTCAGGTTAAACATTACGTCCTTGGCACTTTAATTATAATTAATCAGTGATCATAATAATAATCAGACAATATGGGCAAGGAAAAACGGTCAGGAGGTGAGGCCCGTGAAAACAGACAAAGAGAAAAAAATTGGTAATCAAGAAAAGGAACAATGTGCTACATTGTGTTATAGAGATCTCTGTGTGTTCAGTTCTGTTCATTTCAACATGGCAATGATTTCTGCAGTCAAAACACAAGTCTACCTGGCTTTACTGTATACATAATGCATCTGAATTTAGTTTAAACTGCTCTCGACATAAAACAGACCCTCAACATATTTCAGATTTCAGAATAGCTGTGCAGTCCAACGGAGAGACCGAGGTTTGTCCGGTTGTGTCGTAACAAATATTGGCTACAAAGAGCATCTTTCTCCATAAAAGTAGAACATAAATTATTCTATATTTCATTATATTATAGATGTTTTGCCGGTGACAGTCGCAGCTCATTTTTTTCTTTAGCAGAGTGATTTAGTCACATGGCATTCATGGATCAGTTGAATGGCTCAAAAGCTGTGATTTCTACATGTTGCATATTTCCAAGTGGTTCTACACCATCTGATCATTGAGATGTAAAACACTCCTAATGCCACTTTATAGGTGCATCTTGCTAATACTGGGTTGGACCCCCTTTTGCCTCATTAACTGCCAAAATTATTTTTGGCATAGATTCAAAAAGGTTCTGGAAACAGAGATTTTGGTCCATATTGACATGATGGCATCATTGGTACTAAGATGCCCAAAGTGTGCCAAGAAAATATCCCCTCACACAATTACACCACAAGCAGCAGCCTAAACCATTGATACAAGGCAGGATGGATCCATGCTTTCATGGTGTTTACGCCAAATTCTGACCCTGCCATCTGAATGTTGCAGCAGCAATTGAGACTCATCAGACCAGGCAACATTTATCCAATCTTCTATTGTTCATTTTTGGTGAGCTTATGTGAATTGTAGCTTCAGGTTTCTGTCCTTAGCTGACAGGAGTGGCACCGGTGTGATCTTGACGTGTTGTGCATTCAGAGATGCTCTTCTGCAACCTCGGTAACAACAAGTGGTTATTTGAGTTATCGTTGCCTTTCTATCAGCTCGAACCAGTCTGGCCATTCTCCTCTGGTATCAACAAAGCATTTTCACCCACAGAACTGCCGTTCGCTGGGAATTTTCTCTTTTTCAGACCGTTCTCTGTAAACCCTAGAGATGGTTTTGTGTGAAAATACCAGTAGATTAGCAGAATCTGAAATACTCAGACCAGTCCGAACCAAGAGCCATATCATCATGTTCAAAGTCACTTAAATCACCGTTCTTCCCCATTCTGTTGCTCAGTTTGTACTTCAGCAGATCGTCTTCTTGACCATGACTACATGGAGTTGCTGCAATGTGATTGGCTGATTAGATAATTCCATTAACAAGCAGTTGAACAAGGGTTCATGTCTTCTGTGCTATTTTCTTTGCCTTTTTCCATCATTCCAAGAACTTCAACTTAGTTTTTGAAAGTTTCTTGACTTCAAATTCCAAAAAGTTTCTTGACTTAAATTCAGCCCTGAAGTAATGAGTAATGTTGTTGCGTTTAACTTTATTAAAGGGCTTTATGAAAGAGCTTTTCTCAAGAAGAGTTTTTCCCCTATGTGAGAATTTGAGATGCCATTGAAAATAAAATAAGGAGATGGAAAATTATTGCGAAAGCTGTAAATTATTCAAAGGGTTTGTATGTGGTGAGGCTTCGAGTGAAATCTGGTTTACTGTAGAGCAAAGAATGTGCGACAGGCATTTTGGACGGTGTGACAGGTTTGAAGGGTTTGTAATTTAAACCCAGCAAATTTAGGATTTCAATATCTTTCCCTAGATCTTTTTTTATAAATATATTTATTATTTTCACATGAACAATTTACAGAATAGGTTCAGTATACAAGTGCACAATCTTTATCTTTCCCTAGATCTTGTGTCTCTCTGATAACAGGAGAGGTGAGAGCAAGGATTAGAGGACAAAAAGACTATGTTTGTTTGTTTTTGTTTATACAGGAATGAGAAAGCAGTGTATGCTTGTTGTTCTTTATAAACCAGGTTGTTTTAAATGCCTGGTCACGGCCATGGCAGCTCTTGCTTGTGTATATGGTGTATCTTGCTTGTGTAAATGAATATTTCTCATTACATTTTTCAGAAACCTTCTCCTTAGGAATTTTAGGAAAAAACATCTGAGACAAAGTTGATAATTAAAAATGAAACAAATGACAAGCCTTTCTGAGCCATAACATTTTCCTCTGGACTATCGTGTGGAAACAGAAGGTCAAGTATTCATTATATAACACAACATACATTACACACAGCAATAACATTTTAAACTTGTTCAGACCAATTTATGTTAGATAATCTGTCATTACCATAAAAAGGATCTGACAGATAAATCTGAGCTATTATACTGGACTATCAGCTTCTCTTTAATATTACAGCCAAGATCTTACAACAGAAAGCAAAGGAATGTGAACAGGATGTGAACAGGATGAAAAGGCAAAAACATCAGTTTTGTTTTAGTATAGCAAGAATGAAACTCTTTTTATGTCTACATAAACATTTAAAGGTGGAATCTACGAGTTAGAACCATTAACACCAAATAAACCAGCCGTATTTGTCTTAGGATGAAGATAATATTTCATAAAGAAAATCTTAGAAGCACACTCTAAAACAGCGAGCAGCAGATACACATCCGCACATTCACAATAAATGTCATCACCAGCAAACTAATCTGCCATTTGGTTCTCCAAATGGCAGTTTTTTCTTCTTTAGACTGGTTCACAATAAAGTAAGGGTAAGATAATATCAAGAATTTTAAATCGTGTTTGTCTCTCATCTGTGTGTGTTCCTGTTGTTTAATTACCATGGTGCTAAACAAACAAACAAACAAACAAACAAACAAACAAACAGAGATAGGCAGAAAAACATCCAGATAGATGTCTGCTGGAAATACTCTTGTATTCCTGGAACACAGGACAGCTTTTCATCAAACACCACAAACATTAAACAAAAACAGTCACACAGCTATTTTCCACACTGATCCAGAGGAATATTTTATTACTCAGATGTTGCTCTTTTATAGCTTAGGAGACTTAGGGTGTATTCACACCAGGAAAGTCCGATAGGTCACTTGCTTTGGTCCGGACCAAATACATTTTTTTTTTTTTTTTTTGGTACGGTTCACTTTCACACTGCTCTTTTTGCAAGTGAACCAAAATTTGTAAACAAAACCACAGGTGTGCTAAGGTCGTCCATTCATTGGACAAGGATTCTCAAGTAGGGAATCAGGAAGTGCAAAAAAGGCTTAACGTAAATTAACGCATCATCATCCTTGTATTGTAACTATCGTTACATTATATGAACTGCAAATGCTTTTTTTTTTTTTGCATCTATGCGCGATTAGACTAAAGAGAATGCTCTGTATGTGAATGTCCTGATGCACACACTCATTCATTCATTCCATTCCAATGATGCACACACGACGCGCAGAAAGACGCGCAACAGATGTAATGTAGTAGGCTACAACAGATCACTTTCCCATAACGCAACTCCGACTACGGAAGCCTGTTAACTCAAAGGCGCAGTGCTTTCTTGCAATTGGGTCGGTTCATGTTCACACTGTAAACGAACCGTACCAGAGTTCGTTTGGAACCGTACAGAGACCACCTCTTCAGCTGGGTCTCGGTTCGGTTGCTTGGTCCGCACCAGAGTTCGATTGCTGTATTCACACCTGCCCAAAAAGTCCGCACCAAGGGGGGAAACGAACTAGAGTTCGATTCAATCGAACCAAACAAGGCAGGTGTGAATACACCCTTAAAAAATCTGTAAATGTCCTCATGTTGTTTCAAATTTTCATTGATAATCGTCCCCTGCAGTTGACTGTTAAACTCAAATCAGTGAACTGGCTCAGTAAGCAAAAAAAAAAAAAAAAAAACTATTTAGGCTCTCAACATAGCCTAAGTGAGTTTATTGCTTTGATTTGAACTTTCGATTTAAGTGTTAACTTTGTTTGTCCTAAGTTTCAGACAATTGTTGACATGGTAAAATCTCAGTTGTAATATCATATCAATTTGATGAGAAATGTTCCTGCTGAAATCTCTAACTTAGTTCATGCTGAAAGTTGTGATTGCAGATTGATGAGAACACACTCTCAAAATAAAGGTACCAGAATAGGGGTTTTACAGCAAATGCTATATACAGTAAGAGGTATTTTGATTCCCCAAAGAACCTTTCAGTTATTTAAAGTGTAAAGAACATTTAATAAGATTTCTTGTGCAATGGAAATGTTCTACACTCTTAAAAATAAAGGTTCTTTATTGCTATTGATGGTTCCATGAAGAACCTTTAACATCCATGGAACCTTTTCCTTGCACAGAAATGGTTCTTACTGGATATGGCATTTGTTGTGAAAACCCTCTTTTGGTACATTTGTTTTTGAGAGTGTGTACCGTTTCAAAAGCTATTCTCAATGCTGTGCTTGTCCTATTCCTTCCGTGTCTTTGTGCCTGCGACGTCGGTTTATTTGACCATAGTTGTTGCAAAGGCACAGGGTTATAATATGATGATGTCCCAGGTTGAAGAGACGCTCACAGGCTATCTCTCCCCTGGCAGCGCATCATCACTTAAAAAGCCTGCGCTTCCCTCCAGACCGTGCAGAATCACATCCACGCTGGTAGGGAAAGCTTTTCAGGCGGCGGGTCAGGCTGGTGCTGCCCTGCACACCATGGCGATGTAACAGCTGTGCCAGGCTGAGCTGCTTAAAGAGCTGGGCACGAGCTGGGGAAATGTCAGTGAGGAGGTGTTTTCTGAGCTGCACAGCGCCACTAGTCTGTCTCTCCGTGCGATCGTTGATCTCAGAAAGAAAGAAGAG